TGCAGTGAAAGCACCGAGTCCTAACCACTGGACCACCAGGGATTTCCCTACTTATTTTTTTCTTATTTCGCTTGTGCTCTGGGAGTTGTATATAAGAAACCATTGTCTAACACAAGGTCACGAAGGTTTATGATTTTCTCTAAGAGTTTTATAGTTTCAGCTCTTACATTGAGGTCCATGATCCATTTTGAGTTGTTTGTGTACAGCGTGAGGTAGGGCCCCAACTTCATTCTTTCGCCTGTGGATATCCAGCTGTCCCAGCACCAGTTGTTGAAAAGACTGTTCTTTTCCTCATCGAATTGTCTCGGTGTCCTTGTGGCAACCCACCATGAACGTGAGGGTTTATTTCTGGACTCTCAATTCTATTCCACTGATCTGTTCGTCTGTCCTTAACGCCAGTGCCACACTGCCTTGATCTCTGTAGTTTTGCAGTAAGTTTGAATGGGGAAGTGTGAATCCAACAACTTTCTTCTTATTTTTCAAGTTTCTTTTGGCTCTTCTGGGGCCCTTGAATTCCCATATGAATTTTAGGATCAGATTGTAAAAAGCCAGCTGGGATTTTGATAGGGATTCCATTAAAGCTGTAGATCAGTTTGGGGGAGTATTGGCACCATAAACATATTAAGTCTTCTGATCCATGAACACCAGTTATCTTTTCACTTAGTTAGATGTTCTTTAATTCCTTCTGACAAGGTCTTGTAGTTTTCAGTGTACAAGTCTTACGCTTCTTTTGCTCCATTTATTCCTAGGTATTTTGTTCGTTTGCTGCTGTTACACATGGGATTGTCATCATAATTCCACGTTTGGATTGCACATTGCTAGGTATAGAAATAAAATTGATTTTTGGATACTGATCTTGTATTCTGCCAATTGTTGAACACACTTATCAGTTTTAATTTTGTGTGTGTGGCTCTCTTAGGATCTTCCACACACAACATCATGTCATCTGCAAATAGAGATAGGTCAAGGCTTCCTTTCTAATATGGGTGCCTTTTTATTCCTTCTTCTTGCCTCAGTGCTCTGGCCAGAACCTCCAGGACAATGTTGAATAGAAGTGGCAGGAGTATGCAGCAACATGGATGGACCGAGAGATGATCATACTGAGTGAACTAAGTCAGAAAGAGAACGACAAACAGCATATGATAGCACTTATATGTGGAATCTAAAATATGACACAAATGAACTTATCTACGAAAACAGAAACAGACTCAAGGACACAGAGAACAGAATAGACTTATGGTTGCCAAGGGGGAGGTAGTGTGGGGGAGGGGTGGATTGGGAGTTTGGGATTTTATTTATTTATTTATTTATTTAGGCTGCGCCAGGTCTCAGTTGCGGCATGCATGCGGGATCTAGTTCCCCCACCAGGGATCGAAACCCGGGCCCCCTGCATTGGGAGCACGGAGTCTTACCCGCTGGACCACCAGGGAAGTCGGGAGTTTGGGGTTACACATGCAAACTATTATATATAGAATGGACAAACAACAAGGTCCTACTGTATAGCACAGGGAACTATATTCAGTATCCTGTGATGAGCCATAATGGAAAAGAATATGAAAAAGAATATATATGTATAACGGAGTCACTTTGCTGTACAGCAGAAATCAACACAAAGATAGTGGCAGGATGTGGGGTCCTTGTCTCGTTCCTGATCTTAGGTGGGACGCTCTCAGACTTTTATCACTAGGTGTGAGGTCAGCTGTGGGTATTTGTAGACGCCCCTTATTGGATGGAGGACATTCCCTTCTATTTTGAGTGTGCTGAGTGTTTTCACCATGAAAGAATATTGGGTTTGTTTGTTTGTTTTTGCGGTACGCGGGCCTCTCACTGTCGTGGCCTCTCCCGTCGCGGAGCACAGGCTCCGGACGCGCAGGCTCGGCGGCCATGGCTCACGGGCCCAGCCGCTCCGCGGCACGTGGGATCTTCCCGGACCGGGGCACGAACCCGCGTCCCCTGCATCGGCAGGCGGACTCTCAACCACCGCGCCACCAGGGAAGCCCGAATATTGGGTTTTGTTAGATGCTCTTCCTACATCCACTGAGATGATCACATGCTTTCTGTGCTTTATTCTATCGATATGACGTAGTACATTTTTCAGATGTTAAACTCTTCCTTTTTTCTGTTGTGTTTTTCAACATAAACCTGTCTCCCTTGGGGGTGGCCTTCGAGTCCCTGCCAAATGCAGCGAGGGTGGCTGATTCCCTTGTACGTAGCAGGCTCCGCAGATACAGCCGGTTTGTCTCATTTAGGTGGTCTTTGTTTATTTCCACAGGAAATGAAGGCAAAGAGGCGGGGTTCAGTGATTCACCGACTCCCCCCGACAGACCATGTGCCCCAGGAGAGCAGTGAGTCACCAGCTACGGGCAGAGAAGCCTCTCCATCAGACAAGCTGAAAGGAGGCCCTGGCCTCCTGCCTCCCATGGGCCAGGCCTTGCTCACGTGCCTGGGCCTGTGGTCATGTTCCATTGCAGACAGGGACACGGTGGAACCAGCCCCAAGTCACTGGGAGGGGAAGACTCCGGCCAAACCCAGCTGGGCAGCAAAGCCTACTGGTCCTGCCGAGCTGGCAGCTGTATCCCCATCAGCTCCCCTTCCTAGGGCAGTCAGGGCTGCAGGGCAAGGGAAGCACAGGGAGGGGCTCTCCTATCCCAGGCATAGCAAGCTCTGCCGTGTCGCCCTCATTCTCTAACGCAGCCCCTCTGGGAGCTTGTCCATGCGTCCTGGAGCTGGGATGGAAAGCGCTGCAGTCCAGCCAACAACGGGAGCCTTCCCCAGGGCATCCCCGCTGGGCGTCCCCTGCCCCCGACCACACTGGCACACACATCATGTCACCGCTCCCTGTGATATGTACTGTTGTGTCAACATGACCGGCCCCAGGCGCCCAGGCGGGACATTACTTCTGGGGGAGTCTGGGGGGGGGGGGGTTTCCAGGGGAGATCAGCATTGAATCGCGGACGCAGGAGAGCAGGTGCGAGGGCACCATCTGGTCCCCGAGGCCTGAACAGAACACAAGGCAGGGGAGGGAGAACGTGTCCTTTTCTGGCCCCACCCCTTGAGCTGGGACAGCTCCTGTCACCTCCTCCTGCCCTTAGACTGGGGTTTACACCATCCACTCCCCTGGCTCTCAGGCCTCCAGACTCAGACTGGACGACATCACCAAACTGGCCTTCCTGGGCCACCAGTGTGCAGACAGCACGTCATTCCCAGCCCACCTGAGCCAATTCCTCATAATCATATTTTTTATAGAGAGGTAGGTAGGTAAATAGATGGATGATAGGTGGATGGGTGGATGGATGGGTGGGTGGATGGGTGGGTGGATGGATGGATGGGTGGATGGATGGATGGAGGATGGATGGGTGGATGGATGGATGGGTGGGTGGATGGATGGGTGGGTGGATGGATGGGTGGATGGATGGATG